CCCAATTCCAACTTTTGAAACATTGAACTCCAATATGAATACATTTTTTGAAAGAAACAATATTTTTCTGAAAAAGTTAACAAAATTGATGGGGGCATGAAATGAACCTTGCAGGTCAAGCATGGGGACAATCATACTGATATACTTCACTCTCGCCATTAACAGAGCAGGTGGAGCTTAAATAAGAGAGAGAATGATTACAGTTATGGAGAGGACGTCACCTATGGCAATCCAGAGCTCCATTAACTCATCACATTTATGTTCACCATACCCATGGAGGGAATATCTATGCATGCCAGAAAATTAGAGCATAAAGGTATCTATGGCCTTGAAAAGAATGGCTATCTTATGGGGTCACGGTTCCATCACAATTATTGGGCATTCACTGTGTGTAATTTGGGAAAAGATGAAAAGTAGAAAAGGCTTTTATAGAAATATTCTAAAACGATTCAGGTAGAAGTGAAAACAATTGGGAGTTTTTTTTTTTTTTTCATTGGAATTTATGAAGAAATAGAAAACCATGGGAGCTGCTACAAGAGGGGAAGTTGGTTAATTGTTGTTATTTATTGGGAGATTGTCACTTTTTTTTTTTGTGTACTTAATTTATAAAGCCTCTTAAGCTTTGAGCCCTACTCTACATCCCATCTTGGGGTGTAAATGCTCTCTCTCTTCATGGTGTTAATAGGAAAATATAGTATTTTGTGCCATGGAGATATGGTGGTAACGTAACTATTGGAGATGAATCATTCAACATTTTACCTATTTATAATTATTTCAAATTAAAATGACGTCTTTTCATAGGCACTTCAAAATAAAATAAAATAAAAAAGTAAAACAATTCATCTCTCATAGATATTTCGATAAATTTCCCATAAAATACAGCTCATATAGAGAGTTTGATACTTTTTAGATGACCACTTTTAGCCAAAGATTATATGCTTCGTCAGAACATGTTAACTATTCATTCTCTAGTAAAACCCTACCAAGTACTCTTATGACCTCAAATTTTGGCGATGTAAAGTCCTCAGCCTAGTTACCAATCTAAATTAAATAAACACTCAATGTATGTCAATCAATCTTACTTTAGGCATGAAATTATCTGCAAGCACGTCAACTACATAGAATTGGTAATCGATTTAGGGATTTTTCATAATTGTTTTCACTATTCTCCACAATGACTTAGAGGCACGACTACATGCTTTCTCCAAGTAAGTATTTACTCCATCTAAAGAAGCTTAAGATACAAATAAACCCTGACGGGTACGCACTCAGGATGCAATTAAGCGTAACGAAACACTCGTTAAAGTTTGTTTTGAGTGGCACTCTCGATAAACTTTTAGGGAATACTAGGGTTCTACATATCTGCTATAGTTTGGTGGAGGCCCGGGGTTAAATTTTCTAGTAACGGATTGAGAAACGAGGGCGAGAATTGTGATACTCAATTCACTGCATAAATTTGAACGAGATACTGAGATCAATTTCTGCATAGTTCGAAAATATCTTCATGCCTTAATTCAAAGTTCAAACTAGAATGATATCATCAAAATCAGCTTTGGTGCACTATTTTTGCTTAAATATCTCAAGAACGATTAAAAACTGTAATGCTGAATTACGTGTGCTCAACATATTTGGCCTTCAAATTTGTTAAGAAACATTATGAGATAGATTCTAAACTCAACTCAGTAGCAGGACATTGTTGAGTCGGGTTTACTAGCTGTGACAGTGTGACACCCAGTTACACTTCTCTTTTAATCAGGCACTCGAGATCCTTGTTCATCGCGTCTTGTCCTATGAAACTAAAACACTCAAGATCCTTGTTCATCGTGTTATTAGAATGTAATACAATAAAGTTGATTTGAAACGCCATTAAATTCCAACAGTCAATTAATTGAAAAGTGGAAATATTAGTTTCTTGAGCTAATTTCAATGAGGGGGATCCCAACCATACGATATCCCTCAGCATACTAGTTTTAAACATGGTTCAAAGTCAAACTCGGATTTGTGTTAAGAAGTTTCAAAATCAGGTTCTTCATAGTTTTCTCTTCTTTCCTCTCTGATCTTTCTTCTCCTTTTCTTTTTTTTTTTTCTCTTCCTTCTTTTTTCTTCTTTCATCATCTTCTCTTGTAATCTCTCGTTCACTCAATGAAAGCTTACTGTTAGCGTTAAAAAATAAAAAATAAAAGGTTTCAAAACCAGATAGGAATCAGGATTGAGCTTGAGTGGTTTGCAAATGATGTTGTTAACACTAATTCTCGAGTTTGATTCTTAGCACTGGACCACCCAAAAAATAAAAACTCATATTATTTGATTTGCCAAAAAAAAATCTTCTATTTAAATACACTAGTTTATTTTTCAAGAAAATTACATAAAAATCCGTTATACTTTGCGTTATTACAGATATACCAAATAGTTTATGTTATTACATGTATGTTCGTTTTTTACCTTTTATAACGTTTTTTTTACCTTTTATAACGTTTTTTTTTTTAAAAGACCACTTTACCATTTTTCGGATGTTGAACATCCGAATTGGTAGGATTTTCGGATGTTCAACATACGAAAATAAGCCTAAAGTTAAACGTTAAATTTCCTATTTTCGGGTGCTGAACATCGGAAATTGAGGAATTTTTGGATGTTCAACATCCAAAAATACGTCGTTCGTTTAACGTTAAGTATAACATTTTCGGATGTTGAACATCCGAATTTAAGAGATTTTCTGATGTTCAACATCCGAAAACAGAGAAGACAAAGGTTTATTTAACTATCAGGGTATTTTTGGATGTTGAACATCCGAAAATCTTAGATTTGGATGTTTAACATCCGAAAATGTTGTACTCAACGTTCAACACTTAGGGTATTTTCGGATGTTGAACATCCGAAAATCCTTTAATTTCCGATGTTCAACATCCAAAAATAGGAACTTTAACGTTTAACTTTCAGCCATATTTTCAGATGTTGAACATCCGAAAAGGGTAATGTGGTCAAACAAATATACATGTAATAACAGAAACTATTTGGTATATTTAAAAATATATATATATACATGTAATAACATAAACTATTTGACATATCTGTAATAACGTAAAGTATAAAGGATTTTTATGTAATTTTCCCTTGTTTTTCAAATGTAAACCATTAATGTTGCATTTAAACAGTACAAACATCACGTTAATGTTAAGGGTTTTTATATAATTTTTCCTTATTTTTCAAATGTAAACCATTAATGTTGCATTTGTTAAGGGTTTTTATATAATTTTTCCTTATTTTTCAAATGTAAACCATTAATGTTGCATTTAAACAGCATAAAAATCAGATTAATGTTACGCATTTTTATGTAATTTTCTCTTATTTTTCAAATGTAAACCATTAATATTGCATTTAAACAGCATAAACATCAGATTAATGTTGCATTTACAGCATAAATATCATCGACACGTGAAGAAGAGATGCTCCTAAATAGAAACTACCACCACACTATGCTAAAATGAATTAAAACATTCGTGCACCAGCCGGGAATCGAACCCGGGTCTGTACCGTGGCAGGGTACTATTCTACCACTAGACCACTGGTGCAATTGAGTATTAGTTTAAGCTTACAAAAGCATTTTTCATGTAATGACTTAGTGTTCTTGCTCTTGCACATCTTAAACCTAAAAAATGTCTCCAGCCGATTGGATTGATCACTGAACTTAGGACATTGAAGTCTAGTCTATTCAACATTTATTGGATTAGATTAAAAATTATGGAACAAATGGAAAATGATTACGGTCTTATTGGATGCTCCATATTTTCTCCAAATTTATATGGAGATTATATTTTGCCGCTTTTATTTTATTTTATTTTTAATTTAGTCTCTTGTCTGATGTTCAAAATATTCAGCCGATTTGTTATTCTATTTTTCTGAACTATAGGGCTACAGCCTTGGGGTCCCTATGTGGTACCTTAAAGTTGGGTTGTTCGATGCCCCAAACATCGGATAGCCCCATTGTAGGCACCTTCCATTTTTTGGTCAGACCAATATTTCAAACATTGGGAATGAACATTATTTTCTTATTTCATTTAGTTGTGATATGATGTTGCTATTGGAAACATTAAACTGCTTTGTATATATTTTTTTTAAAGGAGTTTGTTCGATGTTTCAAACATGGGACTTAATTTTTTCTACTTTTTTTTATATCCCAGTGCAGATGTGCATTTTGTTTTTTATTTTAAGCCGTTAAGTGAGTGAAGGGAATGATAAGAATGCAACTCAAAACATCATATTATGGCATCTACCACCATAACCACATATACTATAAGTCCTTCCCTACAACCATGCACCTATGCATGCATGTATTCATGTGTACATACTAACATGATATCTCCAATCTCTATGAACAGTTTATATTATACAACCGTGTGAACTTTTATAAAATATAAATTACAGGTGGAAAAGAAATAGATAAACGATTGTCATATTTCCACCCGTATTTTATGTGACAACAATTCTTGATATTTCAACATATAAATGGAAAGTAGAAGTCTCCACTTGATTGATTGTTTGGGATTCGGAATCATGTCACATATTAAAAGGTTGGAAAAATTAAATCCAAGAAGTATCTAACTCATTACTTTAATAAAAAAAAAAGAAAAAAAAAAGCCATTTGATATTTCGAACACCATACGGAAACAATGTTTTGGTGACTAAAATAAGGGAGAATACCTTTAATGGTGTTGTCCAATGTTTGGGACATAGAACAACTCAATTTTAAGGCAGTCTAACCTTTGAAACATCTAACCGATCCCAAATTGAGCCTTAAGCTATCGGACAGCCCTACAAATAAATAATAAATAAAAACCGATGCAATGTTTGCAACAATAGATGGGGGGTATTTGAAAAAAACTGTAAAAAGGTGATCAAGGAAGACATCCGCATAAATTTGCGTGAAAATATGGAGCATCCAGTAATAATGCAAATGTTTTCTCTTTTTTTCATAACTTTTCTTGAAAAAATCAAAATATTAAAAAAATAGCTTAAAATTTTTAAAATCTATTTAAAAAATTAATCAATTTTGTTTTGCCTTCTTCAACTACTCACGTATAGCCGCTTTGACAGGCAAAAGCTGAGTATTTTTTCATTGATCTAAGGTTGCAAAACCAATCTTACTACATAAAAATTTATTTTATTTTATCTCTTAACCCCCTATATATATATATATATATATATATATTATATTTATTAATTTTTTTGACTCAAACAAATTAAAAAATAACATTATTTTATAAACCTCTCTCTCTCACGATTCCCTTTCTCTCTCTCAACCTCCCAATTCTCTCTCTCAACCCCCAAAATTTACCGCCCCAGAATTTGGGGTTTTCCGGCTAAAGCCCCAATTTGCCGGCCAAAACTCGGGGGAAAGATGAAGCCCCTCTTGGCTTAAGCCCTATTAGCCATATGCCTCTTCCTCTTCCTCGTGTTTTCCGGCAACGGACAAACTCCTTGGAGCATAAAACATAAGCAATGAGAAGGGCCCGGTGTGCCATCTCCCGCCTCACCTCATGCTGCCTTCCTTGGCTCCCCAGCTGCACCCCCTGCCCCGAAACCCTCAAGGAGCCATTTCCAACTGTCGGTCGCTCAGGCAACTTCAAGAGCTTCTTCAACTATGGAACCATGAAAAGCCTCACATTTTTTGTTTCTATCTATGTATACACTTGGTCTTTTAACCTATGGTGTTGCTCTCCCGTCTGGGCTTTTCATCCCTGTTATTCTCGCTGGTGCCTCTTGTGGCCGTTTAGGTGGTCGCGCCATAGCCTCCTCACTTCCTGACCTCTTATGACCCTCGTCTTTTTGCTCTCTTGGGAGCCACTTGCAGGCAACATGCGCACGACTGTCTATGTCTGTGTAATCCTTTTGGAGCTTACAAACAACCTCTACATTCTCCCCGTTTTTATGCTCGTTCTTCTAATCTCGAAAACCGTGGCTGATCTTTTTAACCGAGGTGTATATGACCAAATAGCTAAAATGAAGGGCCTCCCATTCTTCGAGGACCATGCCGAGCCATACATGTTGTTGAGCTTAAATGGGTTGCAGAAAGAGAGGAAGAAGAGTTTGGAGGATAGAGAGAGCTAAAAAAAAGATGTTTTTTTAAATTTGTTGTGGTTAAAGTTGAAATAAAAATAAATAAAGTTATTTGGGGTTTACACAAAAACAAAAAAAAAAGTTGAAAACGAGATCCATGAAGATATTTTTTTAAAAAAAATAGGGTCCACATAAAAAATTAGTGGTCACAATCAACTTGATTGTGTGCAGATATAGAGTAGTAAGAAGACCAAAAGAATAAGATGGTTTACGTGTCCAGAGAGAGGGAGAGGGAGAGGGAGAGGGAGAGAACCTAAAACAGTATTCAAATTGTAAAGCAGATTTTAAACAATTTACATGGTCTGCACATATTGACTAGGTAGAAATCCATAAAAATAAAAACTAAATAGAAAATTTACAAAGAAATAAAAGAGAAATAAAAAGACTAACTAGAAAATTCACAAAATAGTTTTGTTTTTTTTAGAGTGGAATTTGAACCCACGCCCTTTCGGACGAGAACCTTAACCTGGTGCCTTAGACCAACTCAACCATCTCAAAATTTGCATAAACCCTTTGGAAGTTCATTCTTAGCCTTATTCAACATCTAACAACATGACCAGAAATCTATTCTTAACCTTATTCGACATCTAACAACATGACCAGAAATTTATTCTTAGCCCTATTCAACATCTAACAACATGACCAGAAATTTGTTCTTAACCTTATTCAACATCTAACAACATGACCAATTAAGATCAGACCAAGACGGAGTACACTCGATACCAACGCCTGGTAGGAACTTGGATAAAAAAATTGATCAGTACCAAGTGTATATACTAAGGTTTGGGTCACAAAATGTGGGCTGCCATGTTATAGCCTTTTTTTTTTCTTACATAAAAAAAAGCCTATGAAGCCCCCGAAGAAGGTCGACTCAAACTCGAGAACCATCCTTGTAACCTAGATCATGATCCAAGTGATTCTAGGCCAAAAAACACGGAATCTTTCAAGAGTCTCATTATTCCATACTTTCATCGTCTTTCAACACACAATTCCCTACTCCGAGTCGACCATGTCCCAGTAGGATAAGGGGGACTCGGTCTCAGAACATTGGCGAGCAAGAACCTTGCTCTGGCTCTTTAAACAATGCTCGGAAGCACTGCACATTCTCCTCTTCACACGCCTCTTTTTCCATTTATTCTCAAAAATATGGGGGACTAATTGTTTTCAAAAGTATCATAAAATGTTTATATTTAGAAAATTTTATCAAAATACATATAGGTGATCAACTATTTAACATTTTATCCGATTGAAACTATTTCAAGTCAAGATTCGTTGAAATTAAATAAAAAAGTTTATATGGAATGTTAAATAACTCATCTCTCATTGGCATTTGAACTTGTCTGCCGCCCGATACATGTTTGACACTGTTCACGGAGATACTTAGGTGAAGCCAAATTTTTCGACTTTAGAATCCCCTTTAGAAGCAATTCAGGTGTGAGCGTATTCAGAAAATAAAAGCTTGAAGTCACATTCTCTTGAATTGATCAAATTGTAACTTAAAAGTGGTCAAATGATGTCATTCAATATAAGGGATTGTATAAAATGAAACCATTTACCCCTAATGTAAGGTCACATTACTAGTTTCTACTATAGCTTAGGTGTAACACGTAGTTCAATCCTGGTTAATAGAATAAATGCAATCATCCAATTTCAGACAAAAATTAATTGTGACCACTCTATACCAAAGATAAAAGTTTCTTTAATTATAATCACTAAAGAGTAAAAATTAAACCCACTAAAAACCTAACTTGGATACAAATTTAGTACATCAAACACATCCTAAATCATGCCAAACACATTCAATTAGGATTCATGGCTTCGCAGTTCAAAAATAGTATAAATGTAGTGAAATGTACAAAAAAAAAAAAGTTTAAAATACTAGAATTTTAATAGTCAAATCCATTCCTTATACACATGATTATAGTGGTCCAAAGTATGGACAGTGAAATGATAGGCCCATCTTTACCAAACTTTTGAGTCAGCAGGGTCTCACACACCAGAATCCCATCCAATTATCAAAAATTTGCAATTCTTAGCAATTCGCAAAGATTTCAAAACGGACTATTTAAGTGCGTTGTAAACTCGGTTCGAGGGAGCAAATGTACATCCTGCTGCTGCTGGAGCATAAAATATTCTCCATACTCATAATTTGTGCTTAATGAAATAGCTAAATAAAACTTGAAATGTTGATTGTTCAAGCACGAATTTTCTGAGGCATTCCCAGTCATGGATGAGAGACCGAATAAAACACAACACCGTTCTTCTCACTAAATAAAAGGTAATATATTATAATCTTTGTGAACAAGGATGCAGAAACATAAACAGATCAAAATCACTAGAAACTCGAGCACAAGCAACCTCGCAATTAAAATGGGAAGTATTATTTTGGGGTTTATGTTTACGTGAGAACATATCAATCACCGGAATTCCTGGAAATGCTATTTTAACGTGTTTGTTTGCATATGAGAGAGAGAGAGAGAGAGAGTGTGTATACCCGGTCTTAATTGAACATAACATGACAATACATGAAAGAAAAACAGGAATGATATGATTTAAGGCCACAAAACAGTTGGCAGTCAAAAACTCGACGGAGTAAAACTTAGATGATAACCATATTTGAAACTTTTTAGAAGGAAAGGGAGATAAGAAAAACTTGAGAGAGAAGAGGAGAATCTAGGATGTGGCCCCTTCATTCGCCGCCGCTTCGAATGTCTCACCACTCACAAGCTCGGGAACATCATCATCGTCATCAGCAGGTGCTGATCCTTGTTCTCTCTTCTGAAACTGCTCTGCAAGCCTCCTCAGGTTCTCAAGGTTGTCAGAGCCTGCACAATTTGATCAGCCTCTCAATGACTCAGGTGTCTATTTAAAAATAACAATGAAACAAATATAAAAAGAGCCAGCATCAAACTGTTTTTCTTTTGATAATTCAAACCAATGATTTAAAAATCGCCGAGTCAAACCGGACTCGCCCGGTTCGACTCGAAGAATCGGCACAGGTCATACCGGTTCCAGCACAACCGGGAACCGCCTGGTTCCAGAGCAGAGCCGCCGGTTCCCTCCCGGTTCTAACGGTTCTTTCCCAATTCTAACCGGTTCCCTCCTGGTTCTAGCCGATTCCCTCCCGGTTCTAGCCTTCACACGTGTATACGCGTCACGCGTGCCACACACCACTCATACACGTGTACGGGTGACACGAGCCGTACACACTCCCACACGTGCCACATGTACATGCTCGCACGTGTGTGCATCACGCGTGCCACACGCACCACTCCCACACGTGTGACGATCCACTCCCACAGTGTGTACGCGTCACATGTGCGACACACCAGTCCCACATGTGCCACACGTGCAACACACATCACTCCCCCATGTGCCACACGTACGATACACCACTCCCACATGTGACCCACGTGTACGCGTCATGCGTGCAACACACACCAGTCCCACATGTGACACACATGTACGTGTCATGCGTGCGACACACACCAATCCCACATGTGACACATGCAACACACATCACTCCCCCATGTGCCACACGTGCGACACACATCACTCCCCCCATGTGCCACAAGTGGGACACAAACTACTCTCACATATGACACGTGTGGCACCACATACACGTACACGTCACACATGCGACACACACCACTCCCACATGTGCCACACGTGTGACACGCTCAGCATGTGCACTGATGCCCTAGTGTTTTCACACTTGCATTAATCTTCCAATTACATAGTTATTTATATAGCATATTTGAATACTCATCTTTCGATGTGGGATAATTCCCAAATATCATTAAATGAAAACATAATGTAAATATATGCTAGTAATAGGCAATTTTAAACACATATGTTAAGGAGGCATGATGGTTATCACTAATGTTATTTGTTTTGACATCTCAAGTTCGAATCCCCTCTTGAGCCATATAATAGTTATCCCTTCTTGAGCTAATTTTTGTTCCCCCTAGGACATATAATAAATTAAAGTGTTTTTTCCAAAATTTGAACGCATTTTATTAATTTTTACATTGATAACCAAATCTTTTATTTTATTTATTAATTTTTACATTATAAATCATGTAATGTACTATTTTTCTTACAGTTGTCAATAATACATTTTAAATTAGATAATATTATAAAATATTTTTAATTTGTTATTATTTATCTAATAAAATAATTATAAAATGTCAACTAATAATTATAATTTCAGTATATAATATTATAATTAGTTAGGTTGTAATAATTTTGGATTACAGTTAGTTAGGTTGTAATAATTTGGATTTTTTTAGCAGATTAAGGTTTTTCCCCAAAACGAGATTTTAATGGCCATTCTTTCATTGATTTAGTCTATTCTTTATTATAATCCATGTATAATTATATATTTTATCCATGATAATGCTATGACTTTTTTCTTATGTGATGCAAATTTAATACTTAAGTTTATACAGGGAAAGAGCATCTCAATATTCACAAATTGATGAAAAAACTGAAAGTTAATAATGTAGTACCCTCATTTCTTATTGGGATCCTAAAAAACAACATTTATAATGAATTTTAATAATTTTTTCGGATTTTTTTGAAGCTTTAACTCGACAGATTCAGCCGATTCCCGATCCGGATCGGTTTTTGAGGTGCCCGATCCGGGTCACCGATCCACTTTTTAAATCATTGATTCAAACAATGCCAGATTACTGTGTTTTTTGCATAAGGGAAAAGACAGGATCTACAATTTCGTATGCAAAGGGATAATCCATCTGCAACTGTGGAAAGGGAACAGAATATCGAAGTAGAGTTTCATTTATATAGTGGCATGATATCACCATATGAAACCACCATCTCAAAGCCACAGGCCAGTTTGGATGAAATGTATAAGCAGCCACTCAATGCCACCTTATCGGGATCAGGGAACAAAAAGATTTCAAATTTTTATCCCCACGTATACAAATGCATCTTACTAAGGCAAGTGATAAAGGGGGGGGCTACAGAGCATGATTCAAAACGTTCAGACTGCTATAAATAAGTTACTGATCATGGATATAGTAGTGATATCAGAGCTTGGGGCATAGAGAGGAAGGGGATATCAATCTTCTTCGAATTACCCTAACTTATCTTCAAAACAAGAAACGGAAAAATACACCCAATCAACTATCCACACCAATAATAAAAAGGAAAACACGAAACACCAATGCATGATACGAGAAACCTGTTGCTTTGGCTAATTATTCATAATGTTTGTGTCAATATATTAGCAAACAAGGGCTGACAGACTGAAGAATAAGTGACTGTATTCAGTAAGAGCCAAATGTGCATATCGTATCTAGTTCAGGTATATTAGTAGCTACACTTGCTTAGGATTATCAGAATAAAATATTCAGTACATACAAGACAGTGAATGGATAAGAGATTGCAAATTAACTCTTGAAGATAACAAGGAATGAATTTTGATAGGTTTAAGGGCATACCAAGCTGGTTGATAATACCAGGTAGAAGATCCTGCAACTCTGTAGCAAAAACCAAACAAAAAAGTGAGATACAGTAGCAGAGGAACCAGCATCAGAAATTTACACGAAATATAATATAAATAGGACTAGCATTTCAGTCATGCTGGACCACAGGCTGGTCTAGTTACACCCTTCAACTAGAGTTGGAGCAGAAAAAAGTTCCTACAACTTGAGTTTACCCAGCTTGCCCCGAATAACAGGCTGACAAGAGTCATCACTTTAAAAGAAAAGGAAGAAAATCCATCATCAATCAATTGTTAACAAAATAAACCTAGAATCAGAATCATTTCTTCTTTTCAGAACTCCCCAGGGGGTGTTTTGTGTGTATGTGTGGCAGGGGAGGGAGAGAGAGAGTTTACTTTTTGTTTGTGGAGAGCCACTAACCACCCAAGTGTTGGCAGCAATCGAAGCTTGTACTGCATGAGAACAAATACACATCAACACCATGATAACCCCGAAGCAAGTAAACAAATTAGCATATTACGCAAATCTACATTCATATGTTCAAAAGAAAGAAGGAGGATATTCTCTTCTCCGTTCTAAACTTTAGAAAGATACGATGTACAGAATGGAGCACCTTTGGGGTTTAAGAACTGGATAACAATGTCATCCTTGAAGATGTTGACCTCCTCAATGGCTGGGATAGCATTCACTCCTATTCTTTTAAGAGTGCTTTGAAGCCTCTTATCATCTGTTGTTGTGGTCTTGTGAACCGCCTTCTTCTTTCTATTACAGAGACAATGGGACAGCAATCACAAATAAATGTCAGTACATTAAGCATCCACTTTACCATCAAGATACATACAATAAAGGTGTCCAATATCACAAAAACCATCTTTCCCTAGTCATAAAAAAATCAATTGAGAATACGTCCATTTCTCCCTAGAAATATGACACGAGGTACTCTTTCTAGTTGAATATGTTTTATTCCTTTTTACTTTTTCAATAATCGTTGAATATGTTCCTGGGATTCCATTAGATTGGCAAAACAGTAGCACATCATTCCTAAGAGAGAGAGCGAGAGCGAGATCCACAACAACATTGGTAGATAGACTACTTTAATAAATATGCATTTAACGAAAGCAAAGAAAGCATGATACCTGCGCACACTCCCTTTCCCTCCAGTGCGAACCGCGCCGGCCATTTTCATGAGCTTCTCCCGATTCATCTGGAGCAACACACACTTAATTTTATTACGGCCAATGCTTTTAAGGCCCAAAATTATTTATGGTAAACATAGTAATTCCACAAAAACTAGAATAAAAGAACAAAAGACAGCAAACAAAGGGAATTGATAAAGATGACTCATAACAACTTTTAAAGAAAGGTGAAGGAAAACCAAACCAAGTCAAGAGTGACAGGTTAAACTCAAAGAATAACACGACATTTTCTAAGTTAGTTTCAAAGTAACAAGGAAACCTACAAGAATATGAGATGGAGGGGAAAAAAACAGATATGAAATACAGAAACAACCACAGTAGAGCAACACTATATTTATTTAGCAACTTTATCTGCAACATCTACATGAGAACCAAATATGAGTAGATGATATTATAGATCTCCCAAGATGATATTATAGATCGCCCAACATGAGACAATCTTTAGGAAGTTCTACTTCATAAATGCAAGCTAAAATTCCAGAAGCTCACTACAGAACCAAAGCAAAGTCGTAGTGAGCTACAATACATAACTAGTATCTTAACAAAGGGAAGTGATAAAGATAACACATAACAACTTTTAAAAAACGGTGAAGGAAAACCGAGACAGAAACCAAAGCAAGTCAAGAGTAACAGGTTAAAACTCAAAGAATAACACAAGATATTTAAACAATAACACGAGACATTTTCTAAGTTAGTTTCAAATCAACAAAGAAACCTAAAAGAATACGAGATGGAGGGGAAGAAAAAATATATGAAATAGAGAAACAACTACAGTAGAGCAACACTATTTTTATTTAGCAACTTTATCTGCATACAATAGATCTCCCAACATGAGACAATCTTTAGGAAGTTCTAGTTCATAATGCAAGCTAAAATTCCAGAAGCTCGCTTCAGAACCAAAGCAAAGTCGTAGTGCGCTACAACACAACTAGTATCTTCGAATGTATGCTCTGATTTCTTTTGGGCATTATGATCAATGATCTGTGATGTTTAAAACATAAACCTAGCATCTAAAAGATACTTTATGCTTCTTCAGTCATACAGCAACATTATAGGAGGATACAACATTTAAATGCGAACCAAAATTCACAGGCATTAGACTAAACCAACAAAATTTGTTCCCATCCAAGAACGACCAGCATCAGGCTAAACCGCTAAAGCAAAATTTAACTTTCCTAAAACTCAAAACCTGATAACCTAAGGTAAACCAAAGCACCATGAGACAAGGATGAAGATGCTCACGGCCTAAATGCCAGAATACCTGACTTAGCATTGCAAAGCACTTTTTTATCATGGAATAAAATGACAATGTTCATAACTCTAAATTCTACAAACTGTGCCATCATTCTTAGGAAGCCTGTTGATCGTGGAAGTGATATATTTTAATGGATAAGGACAATAAGAGAGAGGTAGAAATAAAGATAAGATTGAGAGAGATGGGGTACAGAGAGGGGGGAAAAGCATTTACCCAAAAAAATTGAAACTAAAAGAGGGGAGGAGGAACCAGAAATAGGACTACAGAAGAGAACAGCAGTGAAAGAGACAGATATACATCCCCTTTTTTTTTGTTGGGAGAGGGGGAAGAGAGAGGCAAATTGTAAGCAAACCCTAACTCATTAAACAAAACAAGTATTAAAACACCCCAAACTTATTGGTGAAGATGAAGACTAACTCTTCAAAAACCAAATCTCACACAAATACTGAGTGAATACTATGACGGATGGGTTGCACATTCAGAGCCTCAATTGAAGGTCCGACTCATTATAATCTTTGAGTTAGAGTAATCCCTAAGAAACTCCACCATATCCAGTTCCCCCAATTACTTTACATCAAACCCTAACAAGAACAATAACCCCACAGCTAATCTTCCCAAAACCTCTCAAACAGACCCCAAACCCTAAACTACATCCAATAAATGAACTAAATATGCTCTGCAACAAAACCCAGTTTCGAATAAACACCTTCACTAAGGCCCCTAGTCGATCTGTTTCCACAATTTAGTCCTTTATCCCTAAACAAACTATTCCCTTCTCAAACTTCAACGCTCCTTCTTAATATATAACCCCAAACCCTAAATCCCTAGAGCTCTCCAGATACGAGCTACCAGAACATTAATCGAGCTAAAAAAAACACAGGCAAAATGTTACAGAAAGTAGGATAAGAGAAAGATTACCATGAAAAATAGCCAAATAACCTTGGAAAAATAGAGAGAGAAAGATGAAGAGCTAGAGAGATAAAGTAGGGTTTAGGAAAATACCTTTTAGGAGTGTGTAGATAGAGAAGGGCGGGTTTATCAGAAGCCGCAACCTTATGGAGCTTCCCCAGTGGTAGTTCTGTCTATAAATATATAGGTCAGGAAATCTCAGAAAGTGCCACTGTTTCTTCTCGGAATAACAGAAATGTCCTTACTTTCATGAATGCCCCTCCCAGCTCATTAAGATAAAACACTTGATGTCAAATGGATAATAAAATCGGTTATTAATATCCACCTTTTAGGTAAATCCAAACACGGTGGATGATAAGTGTTGATCGATTTTTATTATTTATACAACGGGAGGTCTTATAAAAGTATGGACAATTGATATCATGTAAGAGGGCCTCAAGACTATTCTTGCACAAAATGTGATATTTAGCTCCATTGAAAAATAGCAAAGTATTGTTTAAAAATAAAGATACCAACATTTAAATTAGTATGGGATGGTTTTTGACCTTTCAAGGCTGTTTCATTGTTGAAACTAAAAAAACTCCTTGTGCGGGATTACGTAGTGGGGATTACATGCCCCTATCCATTTTGAAAAGAGTATGTATTTGTTAAGGAGAATGGAGGCCATGATCTTTAATTGGAGCTCGGGTGTTGCGAGCACCACGACCCATATTCTATTATCGAGATTGGGACTCATACTTAACATCCACTATTTGTGCTTTTCTATAGATAGTGGAAAATTAGTTATTTTCTATTTCTTTAGGTTGCCCTTGCTTCAAAATGAAATAATTATTCAACTCTCGTAAATAAAAACAAGAGAAACTGATCAAAATACCCAGAAGAGATTAATTATTAAGCATTTTACCCATATATAACTATCCTAACTCATAATTATATACTTTTATTCGTATTTTGAAATAAACCAAAAAATATAAAAAAATATTAAATAGTTCATCTCCCCTAAGTATTTGGATAAATTTTACTAAAAACAAACAATGGGCAGTGAATACAAGGAAAAATGTATTGTGAGTCGGAGGATTCACTAACCTGCTGCCTCACAAATGTTAATCTTTAAGATGAACCTCCACAACTAAATATTCCTATCCACTGGATAGGAAACTTTTAAAAAATATATATACATTTTTAAAAATTTATTTTATCTTATTTGAGTTTTTATATTCATGACTATCATAGTATTGATCATGGATTAGTGGGTTCAAGATCTATATAAAAAAATAAGTGTTAGAGGGAGCCTGCACGAGGCTAGTAGTATGAGTAGGGGTACTCATAAAAACCGGTCATTTAGTACAATTATTGACTGCTATACTCATATACGATGAGCTTGGGTTCAAAAGAACTTTTTGCAAATGATTTTTTCACACCAATATGTTAAGAGAAATGATCCTATAGGACATTTTCTCACCCATATGTGTAGGACCCTAAAAGATCACCATTAAATTTGGCATTGATCTATAGAAAAGTCAAATCTCACACCCATGTGATAATTTTTCTAGATATTTGTGCCAACTTTAATAGTGATCATTTGAGATCCTACACATATAGATGGGGAAAGGTCCTATAGGATCATTACTCATATGTCAAATGGAACAATGAAAGTTGTGTTTGGTGGTCCATCCATTCAACATCTTAAGTTGAGAAATTATTTTCAATCTTCAACGATTAGCTTTAACTTCATACTATAAGTGGTCATAAGAGGCACGTAATAATTGTTTTTAAAATCATTTTCACCTATTATATAAGACATAACATTTCTATATATCATTGTCATCAGGCCATATCCCAACCTTTTTTCTTTTTTTTTTTCGATAATTCATTGGGGAAGACAGGGCTTACCCGTTTTTTCAAGTAGATTGGAAGTTAGTTTTTTTAAAGTATTAGCGAGGTAGTGTTAGTGGCAGGAATGAAAACCACAACGTGGTAATTAGGATGTAGGGTGCTACCACCACGATCCTAGCCCATTTCCCAATAGTTTGCGTTCAACTACATGCATCCGCATTCTACTTTGATATTTGTAATGTTTGGGAAAAATGTAAAAACGGCGGTATTATTATTTCTATTGTGTAATGTATAAGGGCATCATGTAATACATACAGGGTGCGGTTTGAATAGAGCCTAGGCTCTAAACAATCAAATTAGAGCCTACCTTCAAATAGTATCGAAAAATATGGTTTCAATATTGGAAATCTTTATAATAGCCTTAAAATATATTTTTATATTTATTTATACAGTTTAAAGCTTCAAACATTGTGTAGATCGACAGATCTATGAAAACTTGAAAATCTTGAAAATTGACGGTTAAAAAATGCGTTACAAAATACACTATTTTCAAAACTTACACTCTACTTGTTTTCTCATATCCATGCTTCTTGTTGTCGAGATAATTAATTTGAAGATATTTTAACATCAAAACAATCTCTTCTAATGAAATTTTTGAGATAAACTAAAATTTAATTGTTTAGAGCCTTGGCTCTATAAACTTTTCCCATACATAAATGGCCTTGCCCATGGGGAAAAGCTTTGCGTGTGAGGCGGCCTAGATATAATGTAACCCACGTTCTCAACCATCTGATATGAATGGAAAGCTAAGCTTCAACCACAATGTCATCTCTAAAATTGTTCTATTTTATTACAATCTTTTACAAACTAGTCCTGCTTGAAATTTTGAGTTGTGTCCACACATTATGGACCTCACCTAGCCTCCCGAAAAAAGAAAAGGGCAATTAGAGAATTACTATAAGGTTGCAATCTTAAAATGTAAAATCAAGGTGCACCTCAAACATCCATCATAAAAAGTTGTTTTAGGGTAGAAAAACCCTCTAATTGATTATTTCGATATCGAGATGTATGAATATGAAAAGAAGAAAATATTTCAAGTCCTAAAAACAATGTATCTTGCAACATATTATCTGGATGGTCAATTTTTAAGTGTTTACAAATCTACTTAATTTGAGACATTTTTGGAGTTTAAGATTTTATAAGTAGTAATGGAAATAGATTTTCAAGCCATTCTAATATATTTTTTTGGCACCGAAACTATATTTATGATAAAATTTGGCAAGACGTCTTAATTTGATTTTTTAAGGTTGCATCCTTATACAAATTGCACCCTTACCAAAATCCCCCTAAAAGTTTAATTATTTTTTGGTGCGGTTAGTATCAGACCCATGTATATTGATGCCGAGAAGATCAATTTGAGGATAGTTGGACATCAAAACAACCAATTATAGTGAAATTTTTGAGGTGGACTCTAATTTGATTGTTTGGAGCCTCGGCTCTACAAAAACTTTTTCCATTATATTTTGTTCATTTTTTCATCTATTTCTATTTTTATGAGGTGACGGATCAAATTATCCCAACCGTCCATTCCCAAATGTTCGTTTGTGAGTGGCGCAATATGTAAAGTTTAATGTACTTATTCACGTGGCATATTCTTCCAATAAAAATCAAGGTTTCTTTGTTTTAGGTCGCCCTTTGATGACAAAATTAAAGTTAGATAAGTTTATGAATTTGCCTTGTGACCAAATGGTCCCGTAGCTCAGTTGGTTAGAGCGCTGGTCTTATGAGCCGGAGGTCGCGAGTTCGAGCCTCGCCGGGACCATCTCAATAATTACCTTTGGCATAATGGAGTTGTTGATGGTGTTATTTACATTTACGCGCGCTGGACTTTATGAGCCGGAGGTCGCGAGTTCTCTCTCGAGCCTCGCCGGGACCATATCAATATTTACCCTACTCAATTTGCCATATTAGTGTTGTTTGATGGTGTTACTTATTTCCCATATTAGTGTTGTTGATGGTGTTATTTACATTTATTGATATTTATTGACTCTAGATTAGCTTGCAGTGTTGTTGATGGTTTTATTTACATTTATTGACTCTAGATTAGCTTGCTCGTGCTGTGAGACTTGAGAACCAAGTTTAAACCTTTTTGTCATTCTTTTATGTTGAATTTGAGTAATTTTGAACCCTATTACCATGTGTCATTGAGATTTGTCAACCAAGTGGCCCCTTATTAGAGTTCAATGAGGATTTTTTTTAGGAAAAATATCTTATTATTTCATATTTTTAATTTCTATATTTCATCAGATCCAATAATTAAAATATTATTTTTAAACAAAATGACTCCATCTTTTCTATCTTTCAACCCGCTAAACGTTTTTGACCATGTATTATTGACTTCAACAACTTATAAAATGACTATCTCTCTAAAACTCCATTTCTTTCACGTCATCATCATCTCTCTCAAAACTCCATCTCTATCTAAAACCCAAATTCATCTCTCTCTCACATCATCATCTCTTTCTCTCAAAACTCTATATCTCTTCTTAAAACTCAAACTCTATATCTCTCTCTAAAACTCCATCTCTCTCTAAAACCCAAACTCCATGTCTCTCTTTAAAACTCCATCTCTCTCACATACATAAGGTGTGCTCGTGTTCGAGCTCAAACTAAACCCCTTGGCTTGTAAACTCAGCGAGAAGCGAAGAGAGAGAGAGAGAGAGATGAAGTTTGAATAAGGTGTTATTCTAGTATTTGTTTGGGTAAAAAATTTATAGTCAAAGGGGTTGTAAGATAGAAAAAATAAAGGCATTTTGCTTATAAATAATATTTTCAATTCTTGAATCTCTTGAGATATGGAAGTTAAAAATAAAAGATAAGAAGATATTTTCCCTTTTTTTTATCAATCTAATTGTAAGTTGTGGCTAGTAGCAAGCTAATAGGACTAAGGGAAAAAATAACTAGTCAAGAGGTAGAATCAGTGTTTAAAAACCCAGTACAATAACCGGGTCCATGCTGGAACCAATTCGGTCGATCCAACATAGCGAGTGGGCTTGGCTTACTCGTTCAATATTTAAAAAAAAAAATTAAAACATTGAAACATAGGTAAATCATTATTTTAAAATCAAGAGTTCAAAATCATATTCTAAGATGTACAAATCACAATCAAAATCAAGAAATAAAAATTGAAAAAGCATTTTAGAGAGAAAATGGGAAAAAAAAAGGCTACAAACTTAACCAAAAATCAAA